CTGGTTCCAACCTGTCTACTTCAGGAGGTTGCCACGGTATATTCGAATGGCTACTATGCAGACGAGCACAGTATTACAGCTGTCTGTGTTGTTGCGATAAAGTGGGAGCTCCACATTGTTCTGGTGTGTACCAGGAGATGAGTGTGGAAGAGAAGAGGAGTGGAGACAGAGCGGTGTGGCTGGAGTGGCTGTCGAGGTACTCTCATCGACTCCACCGAGACCTGGACTCTGGGACTGATGTCTCCAAGGTATATACATATAGTCATGCGTGGCCAGCTGCACCACTGTGTCAATGTACATGAGTTTGTTGAGTTAGTTTGGCTATATAGAGCAATAGGAGAAAACTTGGGACGAAAATCTTCAACATGCTCATTTTAAATACTGGAATGTATGCACAAAAGCTTGAAGGAAGATGATTATCATCTGTTTTAATAGCTGCACTTCTCTTCCTCCAGGTTAATGAGGTTCGTCTCTCCACCATGAAACAGAATAATCCAAGGTAACAAACAAAATTGGTTAGGTGACATAAGTTTATGTAATTGTCTCACTGACAGGTTTATACTCCGCAACCACATTCTACAGACTGCCATATATAGAACATGCAGAGAAAGGAAATTTCTCTGAGGTGAGATTACAGTCAAGTATCACGGAATAGCTCTTATGTCCATCGAGGTGTTCACATTGAGAGTGTGTTGTTCTCCAGGTCCGTCATCTGTACAGATACTGCAGACACCCTACCAGCATGTAGGAGGAGTGGGGTCTCCTGGACCAGTGGTTGAGGCCAGGGAGGATGGAGGGACTGTGGCTTCTCGTGATAGGGGAGGGAGAGGAGAGGGAGGGGAGGAGGCGGGAGCTGTGGGGGGTGTGGCAGTGGGGTCAGCTGTCAGTCAATACTACAGCAAGCCACCAGACTGGGCCCTGACTCTGTGCGGCACCTGATCTTCCTAGTAGCCAGAGAACCAGGTTTGTTTGGCCATAGTAATAATCAGCTGTCTATGCAATATTTTTTTGGGAACAGGTGATGTTGGGGTTCTCTGGCAGTGCAGTCTGCAGTCAGGTGGACACAATGGTTCAACACTGCTGTTGGAGCAGTGGTAGTTATTATTACGGGTCAGACCTAAACCACTTGTGGCGGATGACCCTCGATGATGAATCCACCCTGCATAATAAACTAACTTACTTATGCGCATGCGCACACTTGTATTTTTACGTGATGATGTAATCAGTAGAAGCGAGAGAAAAACAGAGGGCGGTTGCCAGTATTGTGTTGACTGTTCCCTCGATCCTTTTGGGGGGCCATCGCCAATCCGTTACCGATCGTCTGCGTTTGCAAATATTAGAGGTAAGTGTAGGTCACTGTAAGTCTACCTTGTTGTGTGTTTGTGCTTATGGCTGAAATGGCGGTTCCCTTTCCCTTCACACGTGAAATGGTGTATAATGGTCGGAAAATAATATACCGTAGCCTCGTGTATTGTGAGCAACGGCACGTCCTCTCTGTGGTGTAGAAGTGTGGCCGGTTATTGATCGCCTAGTCTAGCATCCAGACCCCAAAGCGGTCTCCCAAGGAAAGCGTCTCGACACGAAAATTGGTCCTCCGCACCGTCCACAGCAGAAAATTTATCCCCCTAGGACCGTCCTCGGCACCGCGGATGGTCCCCCCCCCCTGCGCGAGGTCCACCTTGTCTATACTTTCTTAGTTTGTTTCACATTATTATAAATAAGGCTAGCTGCTATCAACTAGCAAAATTATTAATGGTCGTCGATCTGCCCCGCCCCCTTCTTTCTGCGCCATAAAATAATGCTGCTCCGTGTGCTTAGGACAGATGAAAAGTTTTTGTGAACATTAGTTTATTGCAAAACGATATGAAATCTAAAATTTTCCACAAAAGCAATTTGTGTTATAATACACAAATCATGAAACCATTCACTGCAGGTATTGCACTGTATCAGTAGAGTAACACGCGCGGGCGACGACGTGAATGCGCCTGCAACGAAGTGAAACGGGGAGAAGACGTAACTGTGTAGCAGTTACCACCGAAAAACACATGTGACACGGCTCAGTGACACTCAAAGATGCTAAGATATAACAGAGATACGGGTTCGCTTGATAGTGTGCTGGGGACTTGTGTTGTCTGGTGTGGCCACTGTGATACAGGGGGTGTGGGGGTACGAAGGCACAAGAAGTATCAACGAAGGGCGTGTATCAACCCCCGCATGCAATCTACTGCAGTAGCTAGCCAGTTTTAGACTCTCCGCAAGCTTCTAGTGTGAGACCAGGAGCAAACGCATACTAATAGCCCAGCCACATTAATTAGTGACACCGCTCATGCGCAGTTCGCAGGGTTTGCACTGTAGTGTTTTCATTAGAACTTGGTTCTGAATCCGTTTCTACTTGTTGTTGCATAAGAGGCCTCACCTTCCTAAATTCTTCGGACTTCAGATGCACTCTTGAAACAGTCAGCTTAGTACATGTTTCCGCGGGGAATTTTTCACAAAAGTTTCCAGCTAAAGATGGTAGAAGTACAAAAATTTGATATTGCTCCCTAGAACTGCACTTTGCAGAGATCGTCAATGTAGGTTTGTTTGCCTGTCTTTTCTCCTACTTGCTTGATAAAAGTACGAAACATTTAGTCCACCCTATTTTCCACAATCTCTATGATAATTTGGACTGCTGTTGTCAATGTAATAAGAATGATAGATTAGCCTGTCTTTTGCCCCACTTTCTTTCTTAAAGTACGAAATTTAAAGCCAACTTATAGTCTGCAATGGATAATTTGCACTGCACTGTCCAGTTTGGTAGATTGGCCTGTCATTCACCCCACTAGTCTATTGTCCAGACCCCACCCACAAGGGAGAAAGGCTTTGGTCGCTTTCGCGAGAATTTTTGGCTTTTGTGTATAATTAATAGGTGTGAGAAACTGAAGCAATTGGAAGTGAACTTTGTGTCATAAATTGTATGCATGAGGCAAAAAATCTGTGTTTCTGCCATCTATACACATCAAAAGAGACTCTTCGTTTAATTGGTAGAGATTAAGTCCTACTTTTGCGAGTGTTATTATAGTGAATGCTGTGAGAGTAAAAAGCTTTACCTCCAAGGGCATTTGGGGCATTTGTGAAAGCCTGGTTACTTATCAGCTTTGACACTTCACAGTTAATCAAAATCTAAATAGCAGTATCACAGTGGTGTTATTTCTGCTACAACACGGACCTTATTGTAAGTGGAAGTGTAGCTTATGTCAAGTTTTCTATGTTGTAAGTTTGCCTGTCCTTCACCCCACTAGACTGGCCTGCATTCCACGCATGCGTAGAGAGAGGGTCTAGCTAAACCTGCACTTGATTGTTTTTTCAACATTGCAACCAATCACTCCGATGTTATTCATAGTTTACAGTACTACCACATTGTACAAGGTTCGCCCAGTTTATGTAAACAGCCCACATGATATAACATTCCAGTAGAATGCAGGTTTGGCGAGACCCTTTATCTCTGCACGTGGCTTCAACGTGCATGCGTGAGCCGGAGAACGAATGTCTGCGGGCTAGACTATCACCCCACTTGCTTGCTGAGAAAGAATGCCAGCGGGCTAGACTATCACCCCACTTGCTTGCTGAGAAAGAATGCCAGCGGGCTAGACTATCACCCCACTTGCTTGCTGAGAAAGAATGTCTGCGGGCTAGACTATCACCCCACTTGCTTGCTAAAAGTATGAAACTTCAGGCCACCTTATGGTACTTGGTTTGTGTGTATGTGTGTGTGTCTGTTACCACGTTTTCTGCCACTAGGCGCAACGACACAGCCAATAAGCTACGCGAATAGGTACCGCACTACACTGGCTTGATTTTGAAACTGGTGATTTTTGTAAGAATACTGTTAATAGCACAACAAGGGGCTAATGGTTGACATTGATTGGCTTGGGGACTACATGACACACCCCTGAAATGAAGGCCACATCTGAAGATGGGGAGGAAAAGAAAAGAAGAAAGAAAGGCAGCGATTAATATTATTCTACCAGAAGGGAAAGGGAGGGTGAAGCGCTAGTTGCCTGGCTCCAGTCCAGAAGTAGTGTGTGCCGTGCACTTTTGAACTTCCCACCTGAGACCTGTAAACTGCATGAGCTTACTCTATGCCCATATTCCAAAGCGACCAGACTCTTTCTCTGTTGTGGATTGAGTCTTGGTACACATATACGTACATACGTATACAAGTAACTTTAAAATCCTATAGTATATGTACATAGGAATGACAAACGGTCACTCATAGGAAATGTGACTTATGTCACGGAGGAAGTTTGACTTCCGTTTTGTCGCAAAAGGAGTGGAGCCCTTGGGCATATGCGCGGTGCATAAAATACATAGTCCCGGTCGAACGCAAGGTGACACAGGTAGAACAAACAACACAGAGACGGTGACTCACTTTGCTGCTTACTCAGTACATACACCATACCTGCACTTGGGTGTGTGTTTGACCACGACATACATACGTAACTAAGTGTGGCCGTTTTTTCCTGTGCATTTGGCTTGCAGGTGCACGGCATTATGTGCGTCTGCCCATTCCTAGTATTATTTGCACTGAACCCTCAAGCTACAATTGTCAATGTATTCAGTATGAATTTGCCTGTCCTGCACCCACTAGCTTACAGAATTTGGGGCCACCTTTTTTCACAGTCACTGCCTATGGGATTATTTGGGCTGCCATCTCCAGCTGTTATCAAGGTGTTCAGGATGGTGTGTTTGATTGTCCTTCACCCCACTTGCTTGCTAAAAGTACGAAAGTCAAGGCCACCTTATTTTCGCTCCGTGGGATAATTTGCGATACACTCTCCTGCTATTGTTGATGATTCTTTAAAACCTTTCTTTCCCCCTACGTGCTTGCTAAGAGCATGAGGCCACCTTTATTCCCCAGAAATTCTCTAGGAATTTTTGCACTGTAGTCTCCAACTATAATTATTGTTAGTGAATTCATTAACTGTCGGCACACATGTGCAGAAAGGGTTACAGTACTTGGTCTTCTCGTCTGTCTGTCTGTTTGTCAACGCTTATTCTGGTACTACAGGCAGCCTGTGATCAATACTAACAGCTTCAGAACTACGCGAGCCAGAAAACTACAGTGATTTTCCTGAAACAACTGAGTTAGAGATATGCTGTAAAGCCAAGTGAAAAAGGCCAATATGCATGATCGCACTGGGCTTACCTATAGACGTGATCCACTCACTCTGTCTACCTTGGAGGCAAAAGAAGGCAAAACGAAGGGTGTGTTTCGACTCCTGCATCTACTAGTGGAGCTAGCCCGTGTCAGACACTCACGAGCTACTATAAGCGTGGGAACCACGAGTAAAGCATACTCATAGCTCAGTCCATCAATTAGCAGTACCGCGCCAGCACAGTGCACCGAAGGCTTGCACTTTAGTTGCACTTTAGTGCTTTTCATCATGGTGTGCAGTTTTTCCTGTCCTCACCCCACGTCCATGCTAAAAGAACAAAGTTGAGGCCATTTTTCGCTGCACTCTCCAGGGACTGTCAATGTAATCAGGAAGGTTAGTTCGCCTGCCTTTTTACGTACTTGTTTGCTAAAAGTACGAAACATTTAGCCCACCCAATTTTCCACAGTCACTCCCTAGGATTATTTGCAGTGCACTCTCCAGCTATTGTCAGGATGGTATAGGTTGGCCTGTCCTTCACCCCACTTGCTTACTAAAAGTACGAAAGTTAAAGCCACCTCATTTTTCGCTTTAAAGATGGTAAGTTTGGCTGTTCTTCACCCCACTAGTCTATCCCCCAGACCCTCTCTCCGGTCCACTCATGTATTGTGGGGCCGCACACGGAGAGAGCATGTGCAGACTTAACTTAAGACCACCTCAGTCTCTTGAAGTTATGATTTTTACGATGGAATTCCAGCTAAGGTATATATGCGTTAGTTTCTAACCTCATACCGCAAGTTTTGAGAGTCTGGAGAATTAGGGAATTGTATTTTTGCCGCTATCACCTTCAAAATCTGCACAACTGGAGAGTGAAGCGAGTTTACCTTGTCTTTAATGCAGAGGTTTTCTATATGGGAGGCATGGATGACATAAGTCTGAGACAGATAGTGAGGATGTGTAATTGCCGCAATTACAATCCTCGGCTGGTTCTTCTCTTCACATGTCGTCGACCCTCATGATAGGGTTAATTAGTTGCTATCATGCAGGGAGTTAACGTGTGTTTTACGACTAGACAAACTTGGACAGTGTGCCTTTTCTTCAGCAAGCATGCCTACATTTATATATTTACAATGGCTTGGGGTAGCCAATTTCCTCCGTCCACTACGACACACCCAGGGATGAAGGCCACATCCGAGGGATAAAGATAAAGGAAAGACAGCGAAGAAATCTACCAGAAGAGAAAGAGATGGGGAAACGCTACGTAGTTGCCTAGCTCCTCCAGTCCAGAAGTACAGTGTGCTGACTGTCCCCTTGGCAGTACTTCAAATCTTGACACCTGAGGTCCATCTCTCACAAACTCTGCATTGCATGAGCTCGGTCTGTCTATTATTAGGTATTGCCTGCCGAAAGTGAAAACCCTCTGCACACTAGACACACACAGATGTATGGGTTACACTCATACACGGGTCACATACCTACCAACCATCCCGCTTTTTGCTTGATAGTCAAGCAAAAATACTCCCTATCCCACCAGAAAATGACCAAATCCCTTTTTTGTGCTAACCTGTGATGCATTATGCCCATACATTATGAAGCGAAATGCAGCATTTTCAGGCAAAAATACTCCAAATCAAGCAAATTTGACACATTTCTGAAGCAAAGGTCTATCTGCAGGTTGGGAGGTATGGGGTCAGCGTAGCCTCGTCCCCAGGCCCCACCCGCGGGGGGCCGGGGAGGAGAGGGCCTGGTATCCACTGCTTGCGCATGCGCGGTATTTTATCGGAACGTCGATAAACCGTGTATTTTCGTGTGACGCTAACGTCACCGAGGAGAGTGGGTGGGGTCAGTCCAGTAGCTAGCAATGGCCAAATACAGCGGCACCGCCGACAATGGCGAGTTTGATGGCGCTTTTCATTACGCCCGCTTGGAACTCCAAGCATCACGCCAAAGCCCGAGCAAAGAAAAACTATTCACTCAATTTACCGAGGTAGAGATGTCTTTTGTGTGGCTGCCCACCGGGTTTGGCAAATCTATCTGCTACGAGGTTTTGCCGTTCGTGATGGACCACAAGCTGAGCAGGATCGACTGTGACACACACAGGAGCCAGCTATACTCCACGTGTTGTTTACGAGTCGAGTTAGCGTAGTTATTCCTACGTCATTTCCTTTTATCGAATTTGGTCTTGACGTAGTTGCGCTACACCCACGTTGAAAATTACGCGCATGCGCAAGCAGTGGATACCAGGCCCTCTCCTCGCGGGTGGGGGCTGGGGACGAGGCTAGGGTCAGCGGTACCACTAATTGATGGACTGGGCCGCGTTGTCGATTTCCTGATGTCAAGCTCTTTTAACTAGTTTACTCTCTGAGTGTCTGAGAGGCAAAGTAGTGTTTTAGGGATCTTGAGATTCTACATCAGGCCTGTGTAACAATGAACCCCTTAATGTCGCTTTTTGGCCCATTTCTTCCATTGTGTTGCAGAAAATGTTGTAACAGACAGAAACACTCATGAACCAGCTGGTATATACAGTAACCCTTTCTGTGCAAACACCGAGGGTAAGCAGGGTCTAGCAGGCAATAGGAACAGGACGTGTCACTACAGTTTTCATCCACACATGCACATGCGCCCAACTAACATCTTCTATAAAACTCCATCCAATGACTCATTATAGTTCATCCAGGGGAGCATCACTAGGTTCAACCACTGAGCAAGGTGACAGATCACCACAGAAGATTATAAATGAAGTTTGCACTTGCGGCAAAAATTAAGCATCTCCGAGCTCTTTCATTGTGGCTACCTTATGAGATGCTTGACAGTGTCCACCTCTTGTAAATACATCTTTGCTCTACTCTAGGAGAATGGCTGCCTCTTCTAGAATGTTGTTCAAAGACGTCGTGGCTGCTCTTGACCCACTCACCATTGAGAAGACTGAAAAACTTGTGGTTCTTTTCGGAGTTGAACTCAAAACTGTTCAGGACATTGAATATCAGCGCAAAGGCAGCAATTGTAAGCACCACTTCATCCAGGCCTGGCTGGACCAAGACACCCAGGCCAGCTGGGGGAAGTTAGTCTCTGGCCTCCAACACATCAAGATGGACAGTCTTGCAGAGCAAGTGGCCTCCCAGCGTTGTCTCCCGTCACCAGCAGCTGCCAGTCCTTCCACGGTTGATCACCAGCCTGTCACAGTCCGGTCTGTGGCCACACCAGCTCCTGCTGCCCCCTCTCCTCCTCCTCCTCCTCCTCATCCTCTTCCTTCAACTGATCCTAACCAGCCCACCTCCCCACCTCCTAGTGATCGCTGCCAGCCTGTGGCTCCTCCAGCCACTGCATCAGCCACTGGTTCTGACGAGTTTCCTGTCCCATCGTCCTCCACCACATCCTCTTCACCTCCCGTCCCTCCTCCACCCTCCCTCCACAACCCTTCCACCCACTCCTTCTTGAGTCCGGAGAAGGTCAAGGCCACCATTCAGGAGCTGGAGGCAAAGTTCCTTGACCTCAATACTGACGCCGAGGAAGAAATTTGTGAAAAAGAGGCTCAAGACCAGAAATTTCTCAGAAAGTTTCGCAAATACCTTCAACTTCTGCCAGCCGCCAAGAAGGCACCTCATGTCAAGTTCTTCCGTGAATGTGAGAAGGAAATTCTCAGTGCCAAAGATTCTCTGGAAATTCTCGCCATTATCTGTCGCTACATCGATTACCGCAACTACGAGATTCTACGCGACATAGTCCTCAAGTTCTGTGGCCCTCCACTGCAGACCAGCATGCAGGACTACTGCAAGATGTTGGAGGTGTTTGAAACCTCTACAACTGTCGACGTGTACATCAGCACTGTTCCAGATGAGGTGACAGAAGACCAGAAGAAAGCATTCTCTGAAATGGTCGTGAAGATTGACAAGCCTGCGTCGCAGTGTACACTGCATGATGTTCGAAAGCTCAACGAAGCAATCATTGCAAATTCAGGTCTCTGTCCTCACAGTGTGTACATCAGTGGAGTGGCCAACAAGTGTGTGGAGGTGGTGGTGAGGTTTCCTCCCAGTGTGGTGGGCTGGGTGCTAGCAGCTCTGACCCCCCACTTCATGACCACCCACCATCTATCAGAGGTGACTGTGGATGGCAGCCAACTCACCCTCCTACAGGACCACAGACACCTGGTATGTAGACGTGTACTTACGTGCATTTTATTTGGAAGGGGGTTTTGTATTGAAACAACAAACAATACTTTGCACACTGATCGGGAGTTAGTTTTATTCGTGGGTGACAGAATGTTTTTTTCATTCTGTACAGAATGATGAGCTGATCAGAGCTAGTAGCAAGGAGATCTGATGATGGTTGCATCTCTACTCAACAGTGGAGCTGATATCCAGACTGTCAATAAGGTTAGTTATCAGTATGAGTCCATGGTCTAGTACCTAGCCTCTTGTAGCAGTAAAATCACCTGCCTCATGCAAACCAACAGATCATGCCGAACTGCGTACATGGAGTATGTGTAAGTAGTTGAAATTCTCTTGAGGCGAGTGCAGCAACTGATGCTATTGATCTGTTGTATCAGCATTCCCTTGGTGATTTCACACAGACATACAAGTGGGAATTTCATAGCTGGTTTAATGCGATGGCTCCAAAGTGATGTTAAAGTAGTTAGAGAATGGTTGGTGATGTATCTACCACCTACACATAGCTAATGTCTGTACGTTTAATGATATTTACTGTATTTTACACACTTGCCTGTTTACACCCACTGCTTCATGTTCTGGGAGTTGTACGTCATAATTATAATAACTAGTTTCTCTTCCATAGCAGAGATGTTGAGGTTTGCCTTTCTGAGCCCTTCCTGCCTAGTGGTAGAGTAGTGTTGCGGGTTTGACTGTCGAGCTAGACCCTTTTTCCAAGTCATGCTTTTCCGTGCATTTTAGTTTATGACCATGTGACACAGAGGGGAAAGAGGGAATAGCAGATGGCATTAAATGGGCAGAGTTTACATTTTGTGTGTGTAGGTGTGTAGCGTAAAAGTACTGTAGCAGTGGCAGGTTTTGACACGAAGAGCCAAGCTGCGTGTTTAACTTGGTCTACCACGAGATTGACACTTTGAGATTGGGTGGGAAGACTCACTGAACTCCAGGTTTAGCTGAAAGCAATTGTGAAATTAACGAGTTCAGAAATCCACCCACAGAGTGTCTAGCTAGACTAGTTTTAATCCCTATTCAAAACAATGTTATTCATACACGTGCACTTTGATGATACACAGTATCATATATTCGGTCAATCTGCTCACCTAATACCATGCTGGTACGGTGGACATTATTTGGAACATTTTTACTATTCCGTTGCTGTTGCGTTGTTTAAAATTACATTAAGATGCTTTGTTTCCTCTCTGTTCTGTTATTACTGTTTTTGTAATGTCTGCTGTACTGCCACAAAGCCACATTTCAGGTATACTACTGTAGTTATTCCTCATCATCCTAGCCTGAATTTAAAGATTTCGTAATTACTCGTACCCCCAGTCAGCATCACAGAATTTCTCTGTTCTCATCAGGTCTTAGAGACTCCTCTGGACCGGGCCAGCTGGTTTGGTCACCTCCAGGTAGTTCGTCTGCTGACTGGCAGAGGGTCAGAGGTGGAGTGTAGGGACAAGGTGAGACAGTGGCAAGAGCTCATGTCATGAAATGAAGCTAGATTGTGTGGTCATATCATAGACAGAGGAAACCTCTGATTAGGTCATTCTCATCTAATAATAACACCATGCTGTTCAGACTCTCCAGCTGCAAGGAGAGTGAATGTGGCAGTATATAAGGGCTAAATTTAGAAAATAAATGGTACCCTTGTCCACTTCCCAATAACTAGTCTGCCATTCCAGCTGTAGGCCTCCCTATCTTGGTACTAACACTCACCACTGCAACACATTTTTGGCAAGTAAACCGGAGAGTCACACGCATGCAGTGCTAAATTTCCCTTTTTACAATTG